GTCTGGACAGAGGAGAGCGTGTGTCCAGCTTAGCAACACATTCAGCAGCTCCTCCGCGAAGGAGACGGCCGTCAGGGCGGAGCTACTGCAGGCCGCCCCCGCTCTCCTCCTCAGCGGGAGAAATAAACAGGGCCTTTCTGGGGCCAGCGCGCTCCTCAAGTTGTCATTTTCTCACAGGGCTTGTGGTCCCACCACATAATGAACCCCAGACTGCCCTGTTTCATTTGAGCCTGTAGGGCGAGCCCAGCCCGTGCGGTTCCTTTCGGATTCAACGAGTCCCGCCGAGTCCGAAAAGCAGGCTGAGTAATCAATGCGTTAACCGGGGGAAGAATTCCTTTTCAGGTGTAACCCTCGCATCGGTGGCCTGCGATTTAGCTCTCGAGCTAGAAACCTTTCTCCTCCTTTTAGCACAGCTCCAGTATGAGGAAACAAACAGGTTACACTGTCAAATAGCAATTAAGTTAATACAAATACCTTCTGAGTGTACACCCGATATTTCCCTTTCCTCTTTAGAACCATCTGGGTGAATTTGAGGCCTGGGTCCTCAGATTTGCTGGGCTGCCAAATCTGAGGGAGTATGGAATTCAGCAGGGGGTGCAGGCTGGACTCCAGCAACAAGAATTTGGGGTGCATTGCAATAAGTAATGCACTCTGCAAGCAATACCAGAGAGATTTTTGTCTTCTGTCTCTGTGGATTCCTAGGCTGTTGTGGTGGCTAGCCAGGGGCAACTGCTTCAAAGATATCTCGCATCGAACAGGGCAGTAAAACTGATGTGCTCTTCCACCAATGCCTGTTCAAGTCACAATCCACACTCAGTAGGAGTGATTAGGGTTCTTCTGCATAACCACAGATAAGAAAATGTCTTAGCCCTGAAACACAGCCCTCAGTCTTTCCTCTCACCGTCAACTGTCATTGGCTTTGCATCCCTACATCTGATAACCACGCAAACTGGGGTGCACTGTCTACCCCTACAACTGGATGGGCCATGTTCTGTTTTTAATTTTACACATGTCTCGTGAGAACACAATTATAAGGTCCCATCAGTTTTCCAGTTTCCCATTTATTTCACATGGATTTGATTTTCTTGCTTAAGGTAACCTCATAGCTTTTACATAGTGAAACAACTCAGTTGTTTTGAGCAGATGCAAAGGCGCATAGTTATTCCCGTCGGTCTTCTGAGATGTAAACCTCAACATAAAGGCTTCTAAAACAAGAGGATGTGACTTTTCAAATGAGGGAAGTGCACAGCCCAGAATACACAAAATATACACAAATATAATACCTCTCCCACCATGTGTCACATTCATGCATGTGCCTTTTTCTTTATTGCAAATGTTGTTAAAGAAATCTACTAATCTGGTTGACTTGAGATCTCTCAGAGATCTGTTAAGATATTTGCAACATCTTGGCAAGGATTTCTAATATGCCCATCTAACAACAGAAACAATTTGAAAGTTTTTCCCATCCAAATTAGGTTGCAGAGGAGGAATGCTTGGCCCAAAAGTAGTAGTAGTTTTTCGTGTTTGTGTTTTGTGACTTCTGAGCTGTTTCTTGTACTCAGAATGTGCTTAAAAGCACTCTGTCCCTTAATCCTTAGTTCTGTTTACCTATTTGAACCTCTGGATCTGGATGGTACTATAATGAAAAACCAGAGTAGATGAAACAAACCAGGAAAGTGTCCATGTTGTACTGAGTTAATAAATGAACTTCTTTGAAACATTTACAGTTAACTGAGACACAGAAAATAGATTTGCTCCTTAAAATGTATACAGTAACCAATGTTCAAAGTTAAGTGCGCCATCTGGTGGCAAGTGAATTTTTTTGTCCTGAATGGCTTTGGACCTGTTTCAATGCCTATTTCCATCCTTAAAAGCTTCCCGGTAATATTGGCTTTACAATGTGCTTGCATGGCATGATTAACCATGATTAACTTAATCGTGGCTTGTTACATTAGATCAATTTTCTGGGTTCATATGGCACAATAAGCCATACATTAATCAACATGTTAGGATAAAATGTGGTTGGCTGGTTTGTGGTTCAGTATGCCATACTTCTCTTTTCAGGCCTATCACTAAGGCTGACAAACCAGGATGTTTTTCAGTGCTGGGCTACATATGAGAGTTTCCTTCCCCAACGCTCCACTAGCCCCTTCTTTTTTAGTTTTTAAGCAGACCCCCAAGGATTCTTTTTTATATCAATTAGTCCATCAAAGTAGAGATAAGCTACATATCTGGCTCCAGCCATGACTGATTTACTATGTTTTAAGCCAGCTGTTTTTAAAATTTATTATTTGGTCTGGCTTGAGTAAACCTATTCTAGAAATATTTACTACACATACCAAAACCAAGAGTTCAAGATTCCATTCACTTACATAAGTTTATATTCTTGCAATCATACCACTGGTGACCTGAATACAAACTTCACACTAATGTGGTTTGTTTTGTTTAGTGGTGGTTTTTTCCCCCCTTCATGTCAGGGTTGATTCCTGGCAACTGCCTGGGCTGGTCACTGCGGTTTTCCTGGCAACATTTTTGCATGTGGTTTGCCATTGCTTGATTCCTGAGAGCGAGCAACTGGCCCAAAGTCACCCAGCTGGTTTAATGCCTAAGGCAGGACTGGAACTCAGTCTTCTGGTTTCCAACCTGATGCTTTAAACCATTACACCAAACTGACTCTGTGGTTAGTGTATTACATGAACCTAATTGACAGAACTGCTACTTAAAGGAAAATATGTCAATTTCAGCTCAGACAAAGCAAACATTCCACACCCTTCAGAAAGGTAGTTGAGCTCAAATTATATTTCAGGATACTCTGAAATACATGTACTTTGTCAGCAAAATCACATTTGACAAAAAAATTCATCTTATTCCCCAATATATAGAAGTCTGCTAAGCTACAGAAGACTTTGTGTGAAACAATGAAATGACAAATTGGACATAGAAGAAATGTTATTAAATGCATCAGATTCAGATCTTAGTTAAGTGCTGAGTGGGGGAAAAACCTCTGCATTCACAGTGTGTACAAAATGAATTCTATTTTCAAATTTAGGCAGGTAGCACACACAAAACAATGTCAATGACCTTTTAAACTACCTTAAAATGGTACTCAATTAGGCTAATTTGAGAGGAGCTCCAGATATCAAAATTAACAGTTGCAAAATGTTAATTTTGAAGCCTAACTCTGAGTGAAGAAAATGCACAGGTAAATTAACTATGTTAACAAGGGATGTTCCCTGGTAAGATCTTTATTGCTCATTCACCTTGCTTCATTCACCTTTTATGCGAGATCCAAATAGCATGGTCTTTGGAGGAGGTCTGTCTATGTGGTCCCTAAGAGTCAACACCGAACGGATGACACATAATCAAAATATTCTCCCACCTTAACTTCTACAGCCCTTGTTACATACCACAAGAAACCCATCAAGCAGGAAGTCAGAATAGCTGGAGAAAGCTGAGTGATGGCACTAGATTCTAGCTAGCACATAGTATATTTCTCTCTTATATTCAAATAATTAAGTGCCCCATTCATATAATCATATACTAACTACCCTTTCAATACCATTCTACTCTCACTAGTAGTATGGTTAACCTTCATGACAAGAACTAAAGTTTTAGACTTGTTCTCTATATTTCACTGAAGAAAAGTCCTTTAGTGTTGAGAATTTTGCATTAGCATCTTCACTACTGAATAGAAAACTGTTTTTAAAACTACAGATATCACTATGCATAACCTTTAAAGAAATACAGGACAGGCTATTCCCCAGTAATGTAACTCATACCCTGCAAAGAATTTCCTCTTCTCAAAATGAAAGGGAAAATAAACAAAAATTAAAAATAAAATTTATTGTTCACTGTCCACTGGTACAAAAATACAGTACAGCATGCTGAAATAAGGCAACCACCATAAACATTCAGTGAGAGAGATTTTCTTCCATTAATGAAAAACTTGAAAGATGAAAGCACAAATACATAAAAGCAAAGTTTGTCTAAATCAAGCAAAAGGAGTAACAGGCAATTCTGTCAGGAAAAAGTACACATAATTGTATAATTAGTATTTGTTTCATTCTGCTCCTGGAGCAAGCAGGAAAACAAGCCTATATATACCATAATCCCATACTAATGTACTTGGGAAAAAACCCTATGGAATTCAATACCTCTTACTTCTGAGTAGACATGCATAGGATTGCATTGTTAGGATAGTCTTCATAGCAGATTTATCCATTTAATATATTTGATTTCTTGAGGCTCACAGATGTGGTTCTAATTTAATCTTCCTCAATCTGGCAATTTACATGTGAGCCACAACTCCAGCCAGCATGAATTATGGGAGTTGTATCCTAGATACGCATAGCACTACCAGGACGAGAAATGCTGGATTAAGCTCATGTTGAAGAGAAAAAAACAACATATCCTTTTCTCAAAATTTACCAAAATGAACAAGTTTTATTAGTAAGATAATATTAAAAAAGATCTTTACGATTAATGCCCTCAACATAATCATATATACGTTCCTATAATTTGGCTTTGAATTCCATTGAAACCCTGATTTATCATGCAGTTAAGGTTGAAGCATTTATTTGTTAAAGTAGTCTAGCCATTTTTTCTCCTATAAACATCCATTTCAGTGTAAACAAGGGAGGACATACTGATTTATTTGAATTCATTGTGTGAAAATTAGATAGCATTTGGTCTA